ACCCCACTCTCTCTCTCTCTCTCTCTCTTGCTTTCTCTCTCTTGAAGAAAGTAACTCATCTCTCTCTCTCTCTCCTAGCTCATCTGGCTTTCTCTCTATCTCTCCTCTCTCTCTCTCTCTGTTAAAGAAAGTATCTCATTTCTCTCTCTCACAGAAAGTAGCTCAGTTTGTTCCCTGTCTCTCTCTCTCTCTTGAAGAAAGTAGCTCACAAGATAAATATCTCATGTGGTAAAGTGTGAGAATGTTTTTACATCTCGCCAATTGACATAAAAGATGCAGACCGATTAGTATAAACATATTCACATTCTTAATCGCATAAGAGAATTTTTTTATGTGAAAATATTTTTTAAGAAACAATCTCATGCGAACCAAACGTGAAATATACAGATACAGAAAGTAGCTCATTTTGTTCTCTCTCTCTCACATACACAGAGGAAGGAGCTCATTTTGTTATCTCTCTCTCTCTCACACACACAGGAAGGAGCTCATTCTGCTATCTCTCTCTCACACAGACACAGAGAAAGGAGCTCATTTTGTTCTCTCTCTCTATCAGTGCTTGTTTCAACCATGGCTTGCCGCTCTCTACTTCTCATTCTCTCTCTTGGATTGCACCTCCCTCTCTCCTGTGTGTATAACCATTTTAAGCATACACACTCTCTCTCTCTCTCTCTCTTCTGTTTGTATATGTCTAACAATTTTAAGCATCTCTCTCTCTCTCTCTCTCTGCTGTGTGTGCCTAACAATTTTAAGTATCTCTCTCTCTCTTTACAAGGAACACAAAATACAAACCTAATCTGGGCTTGGCAAAACCAAATCGTGCAACTGCACCTCTATAAATGCCCAACCCAGATATGGAAAGCGTAAGAAAGATGCAGTGTAAAAATGGATTTTTCTTTAAGCTGAGAATGAGATGTAATTACTTTAAGCAGCTAAATAGGTTATTGTTTACCACAGGGAAACCATTGAAAATGTGTGAGAGAGAAAGAGATAAAAGAGATTTCCAATTAATGATGGGTTAGAGAGAGAGTGAGAGAGATTAGTGGTGAGTTTGAGAGTAAATAAAGATGAACTGCAAAACACATGGCTTCTGCTTTAACAGGCCATCAAGTGTTCCCTGCCCCCCCCCCTCCTGTCTCTCTTCTGCAATTCTTTTTCACCTTAGCATGAGAGAGAGAGAGATGAAAAGATCAATGGTAACTAATGAATGCCGAGCTCTTGGTAAGGGGATTGATATTGCAGGGGAGCTACATTGTGTACCTTTGGTCATTGAAAGTGATTCTAAACTGTCAGTTGATTCTCTGAATCAACGGTGCAGGACTCCGTGGAAACTGCATATAGGCGAACTGCAGATATAAACTCTCAAATTTTGTAAATCATTAATCTCAGAACCTAGAAATATGATAGGGATTCCTCAGCCAAATACGCAGTTCTAAGGATTGTATGAGAATTATCCTTATAACATATTTTGTAATTCAATAAAAATGAGTAGGAGCTCGTCATCCCCACTAATTCACAAAAAAAAAATAAGAAAAGAAAGAGTTTGAGAGTAAATAAAGATACGATAGAGAGAGAAGGGGGAGTTACCCATTAATTTAGTTTTAGTTTAGAGAGTAAATTAAACTAAGCCGCAAGAGAGAGAGAGAGAATACATTATAAGTGACGTGTTTAAGAGTAATCTACTTCATACACGTTATTCCTGTTGTCACAGACCATTAAATTGTTCATCTCTCTCTCTCCTCTCTCTGTCTCTTCTGTAATTCGCTTCCATCCAAACTGGTTTTCATAACCCACTTGTCTCTTTCCGAACCCCATGAAAAGAAACTCTACAATCTCAAGATTCTCAACCGCAACAACATGAAATAACAGAGAGAGAGAGAGAGAGAGAGAGAGAGAGAGAGAGAGAGAGAGAGAGAGAGAGAGAGAGAGAGAGAGAGAGTAGAAGTAAGTAAGTAAAGAAGTAAACGTAACTACGTA